ACTTGAGTTTTCGATAAAACTGATTCCCCATAAGCCTTTTGTAGCATTCGCAAAGATTCTGCACACGAAATTTCGTTCGAAACACAAAATTTGATGCAAACTCTTTGTTCAATATTTTTTTCCATTGTTTTTTTCGCAACGCACTACTGAGGTGAACTGGTTTCAAAAGCTGCCGTAAACGAACTGTCTGACAGATCGCGCTCATTTTTGGCATAGTAATTAAGGACAGTGCTGCCAAACTACATAAACTTAAAATATCGAAAAATATACAGCGCGCGAATTTTAAATGAGAATATCCGAAAACCTTTCGGTCTTAATGTATCTGTGCAATGGCTTGATTGTGGTCAGCAATTGTTGCACAAATGCATACATATATAATCATTATATTTTATATATATATATATATATCGGTTTGTAGGTGCGTTAGTATGTATGTTGCATGTAATTGATTTTGACTTTGACACAAATGCACAAGTGCAACTATGAACACATCGACACCTAAAGTGTTTTACACTATTTTACACAAATGAGTCTATTGTTTCATGATTGTTGGTGTATTCTTGTTGTTGTTTCTGTTGCTGTTGCGATGTTGATTGCGTTTGTGTTGTTGCATGCTTGTTTTTGGCATGTCCTTACAATGTCCTGCTGTTTAGCATGTTATTCTTGTTCAATACGGTAACAATGTTTGTTCTCCAAGTGATGTTTTCACCGCAAATTACTGAAGGACACCGGCATTGATATTTGTATCGACACAGCAGTTGTAGGTGTGGGTCCTAAAATATCCTTTTCGATTGAGACATTGTTTGCACAGTATATTCTGACCAAATATGTTGTTATTTTGGTTTGTAATGAGTTTTAGTTGTTTGACAATTTTGGGTTGATGTTAAATTCAGTTTTACGTAAACAGTTTTATAAGCAAAATATTTGGACTCGAAATGGACTCAAAAATTATTTTACAGGTTAAATTTGATTTTAAGGTTATGTCTGTATAACAAAATTTTAGAAATCAATATTAAAAGTGTTTTGGTGTCCTCTCCAATTAAATGCTAAATAAAGATTTAAGATTTAATATTTTACAGTCTTTTAATTTATACTTTTTTATTTATAGAAATTTTATATTATGTTTTTTAAAAGGAATTTGTTTGTGAGATTAAAAGAAAAAAAACTTTTGCGAAATAGTTAAATTTTTTGTATATATAATTCATTATTTATGTCATTAATGAGGAAAAATGAATTCACTCGATTAGACGTAACAGAAACACCTTTAAAATTGCATTATAAAGTTTCAAATTTGTATATTATTTATCAAAAATTTAATGCTGCAACTCAGAAATAACACATCTTATATTAGCTTCTAAGGCTAACATAAATCGTGGTTGCCTATAAGCATATACCAATCGACCCAGATCTCTACAAAAAAAAAACATAAAATATATAGTATATTCTGAAGAATATATAGTGATTAAACTTGCTTTAATGACACGTTAATTTCTGTAACAAAACCATATGTAAAATAGTCTCTAGGTCATGTTCACAAAATCATGGAAAAATTAATCAGTTTTTATAGCTCTGTTCTGGGCATAGCGAACGGCGATATTCCTATTTACTTTTATTTTTAAGCAAATATGTTACAATTATTTAATCAGTTCATTAACTAGAAGATAATCATTACTCCAAGTCTAATTATTTTTTTTTAATTACAATGCTACTAAATTAAAAATTTGCCTTATAATCTTATAATATAGCATTCTGTTAACATTTTTCGCTGAATACCTATTTCTAATACATATGCAAACACGAACTTTGAAAAAACAATCTTATCAAAGCTTAGGAAATTATTTTTCTTTCTGCAAACGAAAAATCGGTCAATTGTTTTTTGTTTGTAATTTCATCACAATTTGAATTTACTATAAACTTCTATGTGACAGTAAATAGCTATCTATTAGCTATCTAAAGGTGCTATATTCAATATAGCTTACTTCTCGAGATATCAAAGCTTAAAATTGTACATTTTTAACATTGGTTACAGTAACAAAAAACTACAATCCCAATGTAATGCCTACTATTGTATGCAATTTGTCAATTTGTCAATTTGTCACTTTCTTGTTGGTGATTTCCATTTTTAAAATTTCCAACTTTGAGCCCTTATATATCAAAAGCTAAGATATTTGCTAAAAAGTATAGTGTAAAATATTGCTCAAAATAACTGTCTTCACTAAAACTCGTTGTCAAGCCGATGTACCCAGAAAATCGGAATCGTGCCATAATTTTGATTACGTTTAATAAAGTTTGAGTATCGTATAAGAAGAAACTGAACCGAAAGTGTTTACTTCGTTTCCTAATAATGTTTCGGGACTAATTTACACATGTCTATAGTTAAATTGAAAAGAAGTTTGTTTACAGTGCATAAAATGTAGGATTTAAAACATAAAACGATTATATATAAAGTCATCTTTATTATCTTTCATTTATTTTTTACACTTTTGTAATTGCAATATATTCTACATATAACATATATTATAAACAATTCGTCCCATTTGTTTTATCGTTGAACCCCTAGCGTTGGATAGTAAAGCTTCATTGCATTTTATACACGAACCATTTTCCACAATTTTTATTACGTTCCACAATTTCAGTCCAGTTATCTACCAAATAATTTGTCTGTGTATGAAGTAGTACAGTAGTTCAAACTAAAATTCACGGGCTAAAATTGCAAGAATATTCAGCTACAACGTTTTGCAAGTTTTTGATTCTAAATAGATTTGAGACCAAAAGATTATTTATAATAATCGAATATTTTCAATTTGAATTTTTTAAGTTTTGATAAGTTTATTCAGATATTTATTATTATATTATGTTTTATTGTGATTTCCTATATGCATGTGCTACCAACGTTTTAAAGTTTATTTCACTTCTTCCATAGGGCAGAGTGGAATATTAAAACAATACTTGTTGATGCTGAAAAAAATAGTATTGTCTTTTAAATCAGATTCGAGTGTAAAACAAGGTTGGATTACACAATTAATGATATAGATTACGGACACATCAACCACCAGCATTTGAAAAACCCACAAATATATACAGTCTTGGAATTGTTACGAAGAAATAAGGTACAACTTAAACGTCTATTCTACAAAAATGAAAATATTGGTTCAGTAATAAAAGCAGATCACACCAAGTATTTGAGTAAAATTGTTTCTAAATATAATAACCAACCATAAAACTTGATTAATATGAATTTTGTGGTATCAATAAAATGAGATATCTAGACTTCATTTTAAGAACAACTAAGGACATAAAAGTCAATATTTACGCCTGCAACATTGCCATTTTTCAATAGTAAACTATTCTAAGGTAAATTAATATATAATGTTTAGCAATGATCTGTTCACCTTGCTAATTAATAAAACTCTAAAAATTTTCAATGTTAATAAACTTTTATTCAACTTTTTACAGAGAGAAAAATCGGAACGTTCTCCTCAATCAAAACAAAAAAACTTAAAAATATTTGAAATTGAATTTTACTTTTTAAATTCAATAAATGCACAGCCAACTGGGTCGCCACAGTACCCCCTCCTAGCGATGGAGTACTAGCAACAACGCGACACCACAACTAAGTCGACAACACCACTCTTAATCCCGAAATTCCGCTAACCTTGCTGGGAAACGCACTACTCTACCAGCTCGTGTCACTTTCGGAATCGGCAACAGGGATTCACGCCTACAATCACCAGAAGTCACTAACTGATCACCATTCAACAACGCTGAAGGCTGACGCGTTTCTGGAACAACCTGTTCAAGATCATCACACGTTAAATACGCCGCCTTCAACCTATCATTCGAAACAGTCACCTCTCTCCCACGGCAAACAATAACAGACGTCTTCTCACTACGACTCAGCACCTCAAATGGACCTTCGTAAGGCTGCTCAAGTGGAGCTCGAGCACGATCCACTCGAAGAAAAACGTGCTTACAATTAATAACGTCACGCGGAACATACACAGATGAATGACAATGTCTTGTTGATTCAACGGATTTAACCTTAGCTAAAGCCCTTCGCAACGCCGACACAAAATCAGTCTCGGACGACTTCTGCTTGAAATCCGAAAGCATCTGCCCTGGAACACAAAGAGGATTTCCAAACAACATCTCTGAAGGACTAGCATTTAGGTCTAGTTTCGGTGTCGTTCGCAATCCCAACAACACAAGCGAAAGAGACTGCGTCCAATTACTTGAGGAATGACATCGAATGGCTGCCTTCAATGTTCTATGGAAACGTTCAACCATGCCATTTGCTTGAGGATGATAAGCCGTGGTATGAAAGTGTTTCACTCCAAGCAATCTCGTCAGTTCCCGAAATACAGCAGACTCAAACTGCCGACCCAAATCAGTGGTAATAGCCTGCGGAGAACCAAAACTTGCCCCCCAACCGTCGATAAAAGCCGCTGCAACTTCTTCTGCCGTAATGCCCGACAGAGGCACAGCAACAGGCCACCGAGAAAAACGATCGACGCAAGTCAAACAATAACGCTTCCCCTGAGACAAAGGCAATGGACCCACAATGTCAACATGAACATGCTGGAACCGACTATCAATATCAGCAAACGAACCAATTGGTGTTTTAGTATGCCGCTGAATCTTGGACTTCTGACACGCAATGCAACTACGCACAAACACAGCTACATCCTTAACCAAACCAAGCCAAACATACCTAGCCTGCACCAATTTCCGCGTTGCTCGAATACCAGGATGAGCCAAACCGTGGAGTTTTGAGAGTACCAGCTGCCGACAGTTTGCGGGAACAAAAGGACGAACACGACTGCCTGACACATCACAGTACAGTTCAATACTCGAATCCGGCAATCTCAACTTCTTCAACCCAACCCCATCTTCAGACTGGCTCTTCAGCTGAGCGAGCAACTCTGCATCAGTCTTCTGCCCCTCAGCAATTAACTCAATAACATTTGCCTCCAACTGAACCGTAGCAACCCGAGACAAAGAGTCAGCCACCGTATTATCTGCACCAGCCAGATGACGAATATCAGTGCAATACTGACTAATAAACTCCAGCTGTCTTGCACGACGAGGAGATGCCTTCTCACTTATTTGCCTGAACGCAAACGTTAAAGGTTTGTGATCCGTAAAAATGACGAAATCACGTCCCTCTAATGCATACTTAAAATGCTGGACAGCTTGATAGATAGCAGTCAACTCACGATCATAGGCACTATACTTAGTCTGCGCTGGACTCAAACCTTTTGAATAAAATGCCAATGGCTGAGTCACACCTTTCACTACTTGTTGGAGAACAGCACCCACCGCAACGTCTGAAGCATCAGTCGTGAGCGTCAATTGTGCATCCAGAGCCATGAAGTTAAGCAACGTAGCTTGGGCAAGATCATTCTTGCAAGCCTCAAAAACCTCTACATCTTCTGGAGTCCAAGAAATCACCGACTTATCATTCTTGCGGTTACCTGGTGTAAGAT